TCATGAGATTCAGAAACCACTCATAGCCAGAAAGCCCTCCTGATCACTGGGATACTTGAAGGCTCAGCCGGGTTACTAAGTAGGCTTTCAATTGGGCTCATGTTGCGCTCTCTTTAGTGTCTGGACCCCCCCGTTCCCCCTACAGTAGGGCCTAAACCCTAAACCCTAAACCCTGAACCCTAAAAAACAGCCATCCTCAATGTACTGAGAGCCCTGGGGACTCCCTGGGGATCACTTTAACGGGGATGCTCTGGAGTCGGTTAGAAGCCCCAAACCAAAACACATCCAGGACTTTCCTTGTACCCTTAATTGGGAATATAGGGTTCCTCATAGAGGGTAGGAGGAGGGTCTGGATTAAAGAGAGTCTTGAAACAATAGGCCGACACTCTTTAAGCGGTGGCCGAAAGTCAGCAAAGAGAGTCTCTTGACTAAAGCGAGTGCAACATTACAAACCCCCTCATTTTGGGCTGGCCTGCTTATCACCCCATTCATAATCTGATTACTAAGCCCCCCCGAATTTGCAAGTAACCTCAAAAGAGGAGTACCATTAGCCTCCGTGCCCTGCATGAGGGTCAAGATCTTGGACTGCATATGCTTTTTTTGCCCCCTAAACTAAACCCGAAGCCCTATGTAATTCCTGGTATGACCCCCTTTCAGGTATTCAGATTATGGCTGCATATGCAGGCAGTCCTCAGTCTGAACAAATGCCCAAAACGCCCAACCCACTCGGCAATTCAAAGCGACCTCACTCGACCTCACCCTAAATGGTGGTTTATATCAGGAATAATACTAACATGGCCTTTAACTGGGAATTGAACTCATTCTAGATTACCCTGAACCCAAGAACCCGGTTAGGGTTTCGTGTCTAGGGTTTAGAGCATTGCTGATTCTCATAGATAGTTGTAAGTACACATCCAAGTAAACTTTTAGCCAGTCAGACCCCAAACCCCTTACAGCCCCACAAACTAGGGGCTCAGGGGTTCCGGTTCAGGGACATCCAAGCCCTAACCGGGTATTACAAAGGATGCTGTGCTTAGAAAAGAAAACCTTTTTCAGCTTCACTTGTCTTTTCCACTCCCCCCAGTGTCTCCCTAAGGGTTCAAGGACCCAAATAATGGGGTTTTAGGGCCCAACTAGTATAATATTCATGGTATCTAGACCCTAAAACCCCATTATTTAGGTTTTTGGACCCTTGGGGTCTGTAAACTGACCCCCAGGATGCCACGGTGTTGAGGGTTTAGGGTTTAGGGTTTAGGGCTTAGGGTTTAGGGTTTAGGATTTAGGGTGTAGGGGTTTAGGGCTTAGGCTATAGGACTTAGTAGGCCCTAAGCCCACAATGGCGCGGTAATTTCCAGTATCCATACACCTTAACAAATGAAGAGTTAGCTGAAAATCATGTCATCGTTCGGTTGCATTTCTGCATCGAGGTGTACTGGGTGATGTGGTTGCCCTTTGTACATATATATATATATA